ACTAAAAAGACATCTTTAAAATATAATACCAATTTTAGAGAAATTTTTTACTATGGTAATAAAAATTACATAGGATGCCACAGACTTATCTACTTTTATTTCCAGATCAATTCCAAGGCCAACAGGAAGGAAAAGACATACAAAGGAAAATAAAATGTTAGAAACTGAATAGCAACTTTAGTACTGAACATAAGTCAATATTAGTAATGCCAAAAATTTTCCACAAACATGGGGTAAAGAATTCTTTTTGTACAATAATAAACCAAATTTTCTATTTTCTTTCCCTTTCTTTTCAGATATCTTTTGCACTAAACAAAATAGCAATTCTTGTTTGAATCTTTGGATTTTGCCATAAAGAATTTCCAGAACAGATACATGCACAACAATATATCTAATCTGAAGTGGGTTAATAAACTGACAAAGGGAGGAGAAATATGGACAACCCCCTGCCCCCAAACCTAGGGAAGCATTACTGAACAAAAAGACAAACCTAAGGAAAATTTTTTCTGCTGAAAAATGAATTTAATTTCAAAAGTTTCTTCAATGATTTGATGATTTTTAGGGGTGGAATTTCATGGAGAACAGCACAAAAATTAAATACCTTCTCACAATTAAAAGTTCAAAGTGATCTTAAGGACAAAAACATCATTTTCTGAAAAATAATATGGAAAACTATTTGGAGTATTAACTTAAAAACACAGAGAAGTTTCCAAATGGGAAAGGTTACTGATTGAGGGAGCTATCACATTTATTTCAAAAGGCCCAAAGCTTCTATTTTCCAAGTAACAGACAATATTCCTCACCATTAAACACTCTTGTTTTAGAGGAACTGAATTTCTGATTTTATTATTTAACTTCAAAAATTAACTGACACATAGTGGAAGATATTTATGGGGTACATTATGATATCTCTATACATATATGTAATGTGCAACGATCAGAGAAGGGTAAATGGGCATACACATCATCTCAAACATTTATCATTTCTTTTTGTTGGGAAACATTCAAAATCATCTCTAGTAGCTCTTTTTAAACACATGATGCTAATTCCTCCTATTCAATGAGACTTCTATACCTGTTATCTTCTCTCCAACCTTTCTCTATTCTTCCCGGCTTCTGGTAACCACTATTCTACTCTCTACTTATATGAGATAACTTTTTAAACTTCCTCATGTAAATGGTGAGAACATGAGGAAATGACTTTTATTTTTGAAATACTTCCTAGCTTCTAGCATACTAGTCTCCTGATTTTTCTTCTAGCTTGCTGGCAAGTCCTTCACAGTCATTTACTGGTTTTTCCTTTCTTCCTCTACTTTTTTTTTTTCAGTAACAGGAATTGAACTCAGGACCTTGTGCTTGTGCGGCAGCCACAGTGCCACTGAGCTAAATCCCTGGCCTTCCTCTACTTCTTTATGTTGGCATATCCCAGGGCTTGGTCTTTTGCTACTATCTTCTCTAGCTGCACTAGGTGATTTCATCCAATGACATGGTTATTCCCTCATTATTCCCAAATTAAATTGTCCAGTCTTAAATTGTACCCTGAAGTCCAGACATAGATATCCCATTGCCACTTGAATACATCCCACCTCACACAATAGAACTCAATTCCATACCTCTACAAATGTGTTCTTCCTCCAGTGTGCCTCATGTCTCTTGGACAGGTCAAAAATCTAGGAATGCTAGGGCAGAGAAGCTGAGCCGGTCCCAGCACCCAGAAGGAAGCTCCCCCGCCACCATCCCAAGCTCCTAGGGCAGAGAAGCTGAGCTGGTCTCAGCACCTGGAAGGAAGCTCCCCCGCTGCCATCACAAGCTCCTAGGGCAAAGAAGCTGAGCTGGTCCCAGCACCTGGAAGGAAGCTCCCCCACTGCCATCCCACGCTCCTAGGGCAGAGAAGGTGAGCCGAGGGGGCGCCAGAAGCACCCCCCCACCCATGGAAATGAGAAGACATGTAAACAAGTCTCAAAAACAGATTTCTGGATCACCTACAGCAACCCCAAAGGGAAACGAGATGGAACAATCTGAAACTCAACCACCTGGACTCTCCGAACTGCCAACAAAACAGGATCTGGCAAAAATGAAATCAGAAATAATTACTCAGATAACAGCAAAGATT